GGATCTAGATATAGGTCTAGATTTTGTCGTGCACCCAGCCAAGAGTGCATTTCGGAAAGTAGATGTAGATCTATATATAGATCTAGGCCCCTAGTGGTTGGTAAATGACCGAAGGGCGACTCTTGACTAGGCTACTTGCCTGTGAATTGGCGGAGACACACTATCATGCAACTTGATTCATACTATCATATCAACGGTAGATATAGATCTACTTCAGCTCCTGTGCTTGTTTCAATGGCTTCTCTTTCGGTGCACCTGTGCAATTATAATTACAATAATGGTCCCGTTTAATGTTTACATGACGGCCATTATTGTCATGTGGCAGTGAATCTAGATCTAGATTTCTAGATCTAGATCTAGATTTTAGATCAAGATATCTAGATTCTATAGATAGCCAATACAATTTATTTCTCGATCTAGATCTAAATAAGAAACACGTAAAAATTACTACAGGGGCACTTAGGCCCAGAGTGATTTAGATCTTCTGGGGTGAAAACTTTAAATCTAGATCTAGATCTATATCTAGATCAGATGTAAATTATAATATTTATTCTAGGCCTTTCTTTGGACATCCCTCGGCATCTCAATCTAGATCCAAGACGGGACAACTCTTCTTTACGTCTTGTGCCAAGTGCAGCCCCCTCGTATGTCTAGCCCAGGGCTACTAGAATTCATTTATTTTTGCCCAGAGAGGAAGAGAGAGAGAGTGTGTGAGAGAGAGAGAGAGAGAGAGAGAGAGAGAGAGAGAGAGAGAGAGAGAGAGAGAGAGAGAGAGAGAGTATTAATTAATTAATAAACGGGGCCCAAGACAATCTATCTCATACATTGAAGCTTCGAATCGAGAGGTTGACCTAGTTTCGACTGTTTGTCGTATGCTAGGCCTAGGCTAGGCCTTGACCTAGATGTGCTTGTCTAGATTCTAGATTAAGATTGAGATACAGAGGGATGTCCAGAAAGGCCAAGATTCTAGATAGATCTATATATAATAATTTACAACTGATTTAGATCTAGATTTAAAGTGTTCACCCCAGAATCTATCTCGACTTGATCAATTCTAGATAGCTGGTGTTCAATGTCCGTAGATCTAGTAGATCTGGATTCTAGATCTAGATAATCAAGATCACTCTAGGCCTAAGTGCCCCTGTAGTAATTTTTACGTGTTTCTTATTTAGATCTAGATCTAGATCTAGATCTAAATCTAGATTCTAGATCTAAACTGAATTACAATTAGGCTATATATTAAATCTAGATATAGGCCTAGATATCTAGATCTAGGTTAGAGATAGATTATCTTGGCTATCTAGAATCTAGAGATATAGATCTAGGGACCTATAGATCTAGAATCTAGATACTCCCACATGACAATGGCCGTCATGTAAACATTAAACAGGACCGCAGTTGTACAGGTGCACCGAAAAAGATTCCATTGAAACAAGTACAGAAGCTTAGGAAGATCTACTGTTGATATGATAGTATGAATCAAGTTGCATGATAGTGTGTCTCTGCCAATTCACAGGCAAGTAGCCTAGTCAAGAGTCGCCCTTCGGTCATTCGCCAACCTTTAGATTCTAGAGCTTGATCTAGATCTAGATATAAATCTAGATCTACTTTCCAAACTGCACACTCTTTGCTGGGTGCACTACAAAATCTAGATTCTAGATCTAGATCTTGATCTAGATACACTTTTATTCATTCTCTTTCTCTTTGGGCTAAAATGAATACATTCTAGTGGGCTTAGGCTAGACGTATCTACTACCTGAGATGATCAGTACATGTAGTAGTCTTGCATTGTAACCAATGTAAATTGTAAACTATCGCCAGTCCAGCGAGTTATTTGCGCAGCTGCAAAAGTGGGAGGGGCCTGCACTTGGCTCATGACGTAAAGCCCCATTTAAGGCCCCTTTAGACGTACAGTTCGCTGATCGACAAACTGACAGTTTAACCGACGGACGGTCGATCTGTGTCATCGGTAAACTGAAAGTTTGTCGACGAGAGAAGTTCCGTTTAGACGTACAGTTTTTTATCCGTCCTTGGACTGTTGTAGCTAGATCTAGG